CTGCAGTATCTAACTTAACTTTATCTACCCCTTACCTATCATTTTATGATTCATCCATGCCTATGCTACTGCTCACCAAAAGCGTAATTGATGTAGGTATAGGGTGGGACTTGGCTCTCACCACACATTTTTCTGCCTCCCATAATAGGTCAATTGATCCCAGGCGTTCTAAAGAGACTTCTCTAAACTAAGGAGCTCGAAGCAGGTAAAACTGCATCAAACATGCTGAGTCTATGAGGTGTGTAGAACCTGCCTGTGTGACTGGAACAGGCGAGCTCTCCTGAGCCTTTGGAGTCAGTCGGTACACCCGCCCTTCTGTGCAGACAGTAGGTTTCCAAAGTGCTCTAATGCCCCCGCAAGATGAGGACCCCATGGCATCTGTTGGATTGCTGCGTTGCTATAGAAACAAGGGGGACCTAGTTAGGTAGAATTCCTCATTGAATTCTATCCACAGGATGCTCTTGGCTTCCTCTGCTTCCCCTCATGCCTGCAGTTTCCCTGGGGATCCTTAAGCCTAGTTTTAAAAAGGAACCAGGGACGCAACTAGCTGGGTACCTACAAATCACATTAACTCATTCTTGCCTTAAACCTCTAGCCCAGCATGGTCAAAGCTTGTAACAAATTCTATCATGACAAAATAATTTTGCCAGTTCTTGATATTTGTAACAGACATCTATTTCATCTGAAGTCCAGTAGTTGCAGCCTGAATTGCTTTAGGGATCTAAGAGTACAGAAATTATGGCTCTCGTAGAGAATGCCCTGAGGCATCGAGTGCTAGAAGATAGGTTTGGGTCAGGTCTGTTTAGTTTTGAAACGGTTTACAAGGGGAAACCCACAGAGGTACTGCCACCAGTTAGACTGCAGCATCTGCCATTGGAGGGCTCCAGGGCTGCACTCTCTGTCCTGGCCCTGTGGAATTGGCGCTCTTACCCTTTCCTACTGCAGAAAACTTACTTTGAGTGTTAAGTTCTGCGTTTTAAAGCCATAGGGAAAGTGCCTGTGTACTTTTATTAAGGGCACCTGTACCTTTGCAAATGTCAGTTAAAATGCAAGGGGAAAAACCCCACAGGTCCTGCTGCTGGCTTCATTCTTGCGCTCAGAGTGAAGACGCAGGTGAGATGATCAGCTGTCCGACCTAAGCTACAGGTGTAGCGGTGCGAGGGAAGGCCTAGTCAGTGACGTGTTTGCTTTCGGAGCCATAAGACCTGAGTTTGAGCTTGCATGAGACAGCCGGGTATAGCGGTGTGCACATCCCTCACTCTGCGGGAGAAAGACTAGTGGCTGGATCCCCGCGGCTTGCTGGCCCTAGCCCAGCCTGCTTGGTGAGCTCTTGACCAGAGAGATCCTGTCTCAAAAACAAGATGGACGGCATTCCTGAAGAGCACCAAGGTTGTCCTCTGGCCTTCATGTACACACATGTATATGCATGTGTATCCATATACATCTGTAGACATATACACACGCCAACAATAGTAAACTGTAGGTGTGTGGTGGTGGTTTGAGAAGAACGGCCCCCCAGACTCATATATTTAAATGCTTAGTCACCATGGAGTGGCAGTATTTGGAAGGATTGTAAGAATTAGGAGGTGTGGCTTTGTTGGAGGAAGTGTTTCACTGGAGGAGGGTTTTGAGGTTTCGAAAGCCCACACCGGGCGGATCTCTGTGAGTTCGAGGCCAGCCTGGTCTGCAAGAGCTAGTTCCGGGACAGGAACCAAAAGCTACGGAGAAACCCTGTCTCGAAAATCCAAAAAAAGGAAAAAAGAAAAAAGAAAAAAAGCCCACACCGGGCCCAGTTTCTCTCACCCTGCTGCCTGTGGGTTAAGATGTCGAAATCTCAGCCCCTCCTAGCACCATGTCTGCCTGCAGACTGCTTGCTTCCAGCCATGATGATAAAGGACTAAACCTCTGAAACTATAAGCCAGCCCCAATTAAATGCTTTCCTTTATAAGAGTTGCCATGGTTGTTGGCTGGAGAGATGGTTCAGGGATTAAGAGCACTGATTGCTCTTCCAAAGGACCTGGGTTTAATTCCAGGTACCTACATGGTGGCTCACAGCTGTCTGTAACTCCGGCTCTATAGGACCTGAGACTACAACATGCTGAGGCCAGTGGAGAGCTCAGCCCAGATACAGCCCATTTAAGACTTGGGGAATGTTGCCGAGAAGAGGGTGGGAAGGTTGTAAGAGCCAGAAGGCAGAGACGTGGGCTGCAGAATGGCCATGGCAATAGTACAAATAGAGGGAGCAGTTAACCGTGTTGTTGGGAGCCCGTTCAAAGGAAGCAGGGGTACTCAATATGTGTCTGTGCTTTAGTTAGAAGGTACCTGGAGCCGAGTGAAATGCACCGGGGAAAAGGGAGGCCAGGGTAGAGATGGCCAGGAAAGCTCTGTAGCAGCCACGTGACAATGCAGGTGAGAGTGGCTGCCGTTGTCGTGGTCAAAGGCGCTTGCTTGCTTTAAAAACAAGCAGCAACCCAGACAATCCAGGACGTTATTCTCTTGTATTTTTTAAGGGACAAAGATTTATTTCCTTAGTAGCATGGAGGTACACATGTATAATCCTAACCTTCAAGAGGCTCAGAAAAAAGAGAGTCATAAGTTCAGGGCCATGTAGTGAAACCCTGTCTCAAAAATAACAAACCAAGAAGGGAGGGGGTTTTCTTATAACCAGTTGCCTTGCTAAATTGTAAGTTTAGCTTTCAAAGCAAGGCCCACTTGCATGAATGGTGGTGGTTTGAAAAAAATGCCCCCCAAAGGGAGTGGCACTATTAGGAGTGTGGCTTTGCTGGGGTGGGTGTGGCCTTGTTGGGGAAGTGTGTCACTGTGGAGGCGGGCTTTGAGGTCTCATATGTGCTCAAGCCACGCCTACTGAGACAGTCTACTTCCTGTTTCCTGCACATCAACAAGGAACAGCTCCTCCAGCACCATGTCTTCCTGCATATCCTGTCATGATGATAATGGACTAAGTCTCTGAACTGTAAGCCTCCACCTCAGTGAAATGTTTTCCTTTATAAGAGCTTCTGTGGTCATGGTGTCTCCTCACAGCAATAGAAACCCTAAGTAAGACAGTGACTTAAAGGAAGAAAAGTGCGTATGTCTCCAGTGTTTGAGCCGAACATGGGGTCACTCATCCAAAACTCTGACCTGGCTCCTCATTGGAGCGTTCCTGTAGGTCAGGAGGGCCCCGTGCTGAGCAGCCAGTCACGGGGGACTCTTGGAGTCCTGAGGTTCCAAGTGTTTGACTCATGTTAGAAGTCCACAAAGAGCCTGTCCTAAAAGGAATCACCATGATGGGGTTCAGCGCCCACAGAGAGACAACCATAGTGAAAAAGCAGAATGAACAGAGTTGCTAGAGAGGCCAGAGGATGCCCGCAGAATGTCTGCCTACACAGCTAGAAAGCTCAGATTCAGGGAGAAGCTTGCTTATCAAAGACTTAGCAGTTAATATTCATATGTAAGCAAATGCATAATCATATTTGTCTTTAGGATCTGGGTTCTATCAAGATGATTTTACCTGTAACTGTCATGATTTTGGTTTAACAGTTGAGTAGTATTCCGTTGTGTGTATGGACCACATTTTCTTTACCCAGTCATCTGTTGATGAACATCTAGGCTGATTCCAGCATCTAGCTGGTATGAATATGGCTGAGAATGTGTCTGTAGTAGGATGTAGACTCCTTTGGGTGTGTGCCCAAGAGTGTTAAAGCTAGACCTTGAGGTAGATCTATTCCCAACTCCCTAAAGAATTGCCACACTGTACAAGTTTACATTCCCACCAATCCTCATAACCACAGAGGTTAGGTGTTGAGTGTAGGACTGGTGGAGAAGAAGGGCTCTCCCCAGGGAAGAAAATACAGTAGACAGTTGTGGGTGGGTGGGAAGGGGCTTGGGAGGCATGGGTTGGAGTAAATTTTAATGTTTACGTTAAAAAAACAGAGAGCTAGATGGCACACACCTTTAATTCCAGCACTCCAGAGGTAGGTGGATATCTGTGAGTTCAAAGCCAACCTGGCCTACAGAGTGAATTCCAGGACAGCCAGGGCTACACAGAGAGACCCCCCTCTCAACAAAACAGAAGAAGATACCTAAATCATTTAGAGCCATCAAACTATCAGGGTGTCTTAAGAAAGGCCTCTAGGGCTGGAGAGATGGCTCAGCGGTTAAGAGCATTGCCTGCTCTTCCAAAGGTCCTGAGTTCAATTCCCAGCAACCACATGGTGGCTCACAACCATCTGTAATGAGGTCTGGTGCCCTCTACTGGACAGAATATTGTATACATAATAAATAAATATTAAAAAAAAGAAAGACCTCTAAATTAAAAAAAAAAAAGTGAGATGTTTAAATACTCATGATAAGGAAAGTGGCTGGGTGAAATGAATGCCGGGACAATCGTGGGGTAGACAGCAGATGCGGAAGCTTTCTAAGCTAGGAAGATGGTCAGTGTGTTACTGGGGTGGGGGAGCAAGGTGCTGAGAGAGTGCGGTGCCTCTGTAAGAGATGAGGATACACAGACAAGTGTGTGAGGGTCAGGGGGTGGAAGGTTTTTGTGTTATTTTGAGTTACAAATCAATTACCTTCTGGAAATAAATTTTGAAATGAAATTTGACATGAAACAAGATCTGATTTTCTTTAGGCCTGGAGTATTTGTGACCTTACCCTGTGTGTTTGAGTCTTGGAATAGGATCAGTTGCAAGCATGTGTATTTTGATAGAATAACTGTAGAAACAATACATAGTAGTTTATCTTCTGACTACTTTAGTAGGAAACATAAATCTTCACTTAAATTGTAATTTATTTAACTTGTTACAGTTTCTGGATTCTTTTTTCCCTCCCGAGGTAATTGGAAACCTTAAAACAGGGAGCCTACTGTAGGAATGTTCTGTGGATGGTTTAGTAAATGCAGTTGCACAGTGAACTTGATTTATGATCTTATGTGTGGCTTTGTTATTTGCTGGAGTTGGAGTGTACAGAGAAAATGTTCTGGACTGCTCTTGTCTTTACAGGAGCAGAAAAATCCAAATTCGAAACATCCCGCCTCACCTGCAGTGGGAGGTAAGCCGGGGCACCCAGACACCTTCTTAGTTTAGCTTCCTTTACTTTAGGAATTAGAGGCCATAAGACTCGTCCCCAGAGCCTCTGGGTCCTGTCCTTCCTTTCTAGTGCTGGGGCTCACGACATCAGTTAGGGGTTGTGTTTGTCCCTCTCTGATGATGTACACCCTGGCCCCTCACAGTCTTCTCCTGCAGTACCGGGCCCTAAGGACCAGCAGAACAGCCAGGAGACAGTGTGCGCTTTTTGTGATGCTTATCACATGATCTGATGGAAGATTTTTGTTGTCTCACATTCTGATTGGCTGAGGCACTGAGAAACCTATAGAAACAGACATTTCTTTGTTAGAGTAGATTTTGTTTGTTTGTCTTTTGTTTTGAGTTAGCTGCTATGAGTAACCATTACAGATACATCTTCAGAGCACTAAATGGTCTAAGATTGCTGTCTTTATATAAAATGCAGTAGGATGCCAGGAGTGGCCCCACTGTTAAGAACAAACTGCCCTAACCCACAGGAAACCAGACCAGCCTTAAATGAAGCTGTGCTTTATCTTGTCTTTAGAAAAGGAAAGAAGAGAAAGGATGAGGTTGGAGAACTGACTCAGTGCTTAAGCCTGCACTGCCTTTGCCAGGGACCCAAGTTCAATTTCCAGTAGTCATATTGGGTGGCTTATCTATAACCCCAGATCCAATACTTCTGGCCTCTGCAGACACCTGTCACACTCATGTATACACACACACCTGTTACACATACACACGGCGCTCTCTCTCTCTCTCTCTCTCTCTCTCACACACACACACACACACACACACACACACGCGCGCGCGCGCACACACACACACACACACAGCCAGGCATAGTGGTGTGTGTGACTTTAATTCCCATACGTAGGAGGCTGAGGCAGGCAGATCTCTTGAGTTTGAGGCCAGCCTGGTCTACATAGGGATTTCCAGGACAACCAGGTCCTGTCTCAAAAATAAATCTTTAAAAAGAACAAACGTTGTCAAAAGATTTATTTTTTAATGTGTATGTATGTGTGTCTGTGTGCACACATGTGTTCAGAGCACACGAGATCAGGAGAGGTCGTTTGATCCCCTGGAACTGGAGTTCCAGGTGTTTGTGAGGAGCTGCCATGTGGGTGCTGGGAATGCTCGGATCCTCTGCGAGAGCAGTGCATACTCTTTACTGTCATCTCAAATTTGAAGTATACACAATCTATTACGTGAATAAATCAGGGGGGTCTCTGGGGGAGAGCTGAAGGAAGAATTGTTAAATCTCCTGAAGAAAAGTGCGCTGTGTCCTTTGCTCTGCTTTTCATTTCAGCAGCGTAGTTCGGGTCATCGCGCCGGTGTGGCTGTCCAGTTACCAAGACCGCGCAGTTGTGTGGGGCCATCTGATGGTCCAATTCTGCTGTCCTTGTTTCTCTGCGTGTTTCACTGCAGGGGGAAACGAATGTCTTTTTTATGATCTTCTGTTTCTTCACAGGTGCTGGATGGCCTGTTGGCCGAGTGTGGGACAGTGGAGAACGTGGAACAAGGTAATCAGTGGGAGAGTTGAGCACGGGAGTCAGGAAGTTAGTCCACGGGAGAGGACTTTGTTATCTCTTAGGTTGGGGTCATCAGGGAGAAGCAGTAAGTCCCAATGCCTTTGACGTGTGCTTCCTCTGGTGTCTGTACACCTCCCTGTCAGAGGAATCTGTGACTGTCATCTTTATATATCTGTATAGTCCAGTCATTCAGGGAATATATTCTTTAAGAGTTTCTCTATATAGCCCTGGTTGACCTGTAAGTCACTTTATGGACCAGACTGACCTCGAAATCACAGAGACCCACCTGCTTCTGCCTTGGGTGCTGGGATTAGAGGCGTGGCTACCTCGCCTTACACTTGGGTGTCTTGACACCTGCAGTAAGCGTAAGCACTGGACAGACACAGTTGGGGTGGAGCACACTTAACTCGTCTGAGAATAGTTGAGTCACTGCTGTGACTTAGCTGACTCGGCTTCACTAGAAGGGAGGACACACCTAGTGTCTGTTTACTGTGAGGTAGGATTTCCCCACCAAGATTCTTATGAAAATGTCAGTTCCTCGGGTTCAGCACAAACCTGCGGAGATTCAAGGTAGAAGGAGTGGCTCATGGTTGAATCGAGAATCTTGGAGTGGTTTTGTGCGCACTCAGAACTGAGGCCTGCCATCATAGGAACAGCACTACAAATGCCCCAGGAAATACTTCTTCTCTTCTGCTCCCCATTGCTTATGGCTAATTCCTGAGGTGCTGGTTTTTAAGAAGAATCAAAAGGGCACCTGAAGGTGATGTCCTGCATAGCTCCTTATGAGTCCCAGAAAGGTGGATCCCAAGACCCTGACAATGATGACACCAAAGTATGGTAAAAATGATTTTTACATTGGCCCTGACTGCTCCTAACCTGTGAACCCTTGGAACAGTCGCTCAGCCTCACCAATTGAACCGCACTGATTCTGTGTCCACTTGTATAAAACAAGCGTAATTTCTACCCTTCCTGTAGCATCGGATGGTCACGCCACTCAGTGGAAACCTGTTGATATATTTTATAGACAATTGTAAGGATCCTCATGAAAAGATCGTAGAGCATCCTATTTCTCACAGATGGTCCAGTCTGTCAGTGATTAGCATAATCGTCTTGAAGCCGCAGTTATTAGGTGTGTTCCCCTCCACGATGGCGAAGAAGTTACCCTGTTTCTTACGGCCGCTTGCCCATGCTCAGAGCTGAAAGCACTCGGAGAGAACATACTTTCTATGAATTCTGTTTTCACTTCCTTGTCGTTGGAAGGAAGACATTCTAGTGGCAAGATAGCTTTCCAGGTATCAACTTGAAAAAATTTTAAAACAGACTGCTGGCCTGGGTGTGGTGACACATGCCTAAAGTCCCAGTTTTGGAGAGATGGAGACAGACACAGCTAAAACTGTGAAATCGATTCAGAATGGTGCTACCTGAGAAGGAGGGGTTCAGGGGCACCGGGGCAACACACAGCCCTCCAGCCCCTGTGCACTGGAGACTGCTCAGCTCCAGCCCCTCAAGGCATAGAGCAAGCTATTGAGCTCGTCTTTTGTCCTGTTTCGTGGGTGATTTCGATCTGGCAAGCCTGTCAGTAGAGTCTTAGAAACTTTAATGAACAATGACTTTAATGAACAACGGAATAAGTTATTTAAATGGAGCTCAGCTTATTCTAGAATTAAGGACCACGTGACTTTCAGCAGGCAAACGTCTTTGAAGACCAGAGACTTAGTGAAAGTGAGAGCAAATCTAAGGAGCCAGGATTCCTAGAGGATGATTTCTCTGGGAGTCTGAGTCTAGCAGCCTTCTCCGTCAGTCTAGAAGGCTGCAGATCAGAAACCTCTGACATTGTACTGACACGGGGTGAGGACAGTGACGTGCCACACTGCTGTGTTGAGCACTGCGAGGGCATCTGTGAGTAAGACCGTTAGGCGCAGCCCCAGTGAGCCAGGACAGAGCCAGGGCTGGGATCCATGTTGATGGTGTGTAGCTCATTGAGCTGATAGTTACTGTACACCTCCTACCTATCCCCAGCACCCCCCACCAAGTCTGAAGCTGCTTTGAAATTACAGGGCAAAATATGTTTTTATCCTAGAGTCTTTAATGTTTGGGGATGCCAGATTCCTTTGAGAATCTCACAGTTTAAGATGTCACAAGTGGGATGGTCCTAGAACTCCTAAGGTTTTTTTTTTTTAAGATTTATTTATTTATTATGTATACAACATTCTGCCTCCGAGTGTGCCTACATGCCAGAGGAGGGCGCCAGATCTCATTACAGGTGGTTGTGAGCCACCATGTGGTTGCTGGGAATTGAACTCAGAACCTCTGGAAGAGCAGCCAGTGCTCTTAACGCCTGAGCCATCTCTCCAGCCCAGAACTCCTAAGGTTTAAGAATGAGTTTTGCTACTTTGAAGGGAGCTTTATTGTGACTTTCTGGAATTATTCTTAATGCTGTTAACTTTAAATTCCCCAACGATGTGTTTTGAAGAGAGGGTCTGATTAGTCATTCTTGGTTTTTGGGAAAACGTAAGCAAGCTTTATCAATCAAGCCTTTTGAATGAAGTGTGTGTGTGTGTGTGTGCGCGCGTGTATGTGTGTCTGTCTGTGTCTCTGTGTGTCTGTCTGCATGTCTGTGTCTGTTTAGACATAGGGCTTTGCTGTGTAGCTCAGGCTTACTATCCTGCCTCAGTCTCCCATTTTTACGATGGATGGACGGACGGACGGACACACACACACACACACACACACACACACATTGCATGCCACAGATATATATGGTTGACTTTTCTTATTATGGTGTCTATATATGGAGGATATCTTAACTAGAAGGCTCAAGCCCAGCTATTTTTGGGAGTCAGAGTCCACAGCCTTCTCTTTAGCTCTTGAAAACTGTAGATAGGAACCCTTTAACATTCTGTGAGTTTTAAATTAACAATTAAAATGAATAATAAATAGGTTTAGAAGTTTGAAAGTAATGAAGCACAGAGAACCATGGTGGTTTTTTTTTTCTTTCTTTTCTTTATGTCATGTTCTTTCGCCCATTTTCCCTCTGTGATTTTAGCCTAAAGAAATATTTCAGAATACAAAGTCAAATGGCCTTGCTATGGAGGTGACTTAGCAGCGCTTTAGGTTGACAGTACTGGGGGCAGCACATTCCCAAATGATTAAAGATGAGGCTGTTCATGGCCTCTTTGCTCTCCACAACTGTGAAAATACATGAATGTGCAGAGCTAGTTCACTTCCTTAGAATACTTATAAGTGCAGGGCAGGGCAGTGTGTTACATGAACACCTAATTACAGAGTGTTGCATACGTCTGACTTACAAACGCTATAATGATAATAAACACACATGGGCACAGTTAAGATGTGATGTTCTGTGCATTTTCCTTTGAAGTTAGCTTTCCATGGGCACAGGGGTGAGAGCTATTTTTAAACGATGATTGTAGTTTTCACTTCTTCCCTAGTCAATACAGATACAGAAACTGCTGTTGTCAACGTCACCTATACAACAAGAGAAGAAGCAAAGATGTAAGTGGGTTGGGGTTCATTTCTTTGCAGATTTATTTGGGTTTGTCTTTGGTTTCCTTTGAGTCCTGCTTCTGGAAACCTTTCCTGAGAAGACAGGTACCAACCAGCCAGATCACATCCTCTTTGTACGTGCTAGGACAACTCCAGGGTGTCTGTGTCCTCTTGGACATGCCTGTACAACTCCAAGGTATTCTTGCTACTTTTGGCATGTTCATGCAACGCCAGGAGTTCGTGTCGGGCTGTTGTGTGATTGTACAGCATCTCTTTCTTGAACAATGTTGAACTTGGCACCAGCAGAAAGACAGGAACCGCATGAGGAAGAGAAGGACACCAGCTCTATGATGCTGCACCCATAGGCTCACTTTGACAAGCTTCAGGGGGCCTCTTTTACCTGGAGCATACTCTGTTTTCCACAAGGAATGTGTACAGCCTGCCAGCCACACTCACTGAATGTAGACTAAAACAATAGTGTTTTATTTTTTTCCTGTGTATAATATTTTCAGAAGAATTCACCTCCTTGACAGCAGCAGGCTTGGTTACCTGGGAATATTCCACCCTGGCTTGGACCCCTACTCTTACTCTGTTCATTACTCTGTTACTTCAGTAATGATTAGAGTTTATTCTTAACAGACATGGGATTACGTTTTTTAAGAATAGCAAAAAAAAAAAGTTTCTTTTTAATTTTTTGGGCTGTTTTGAGGTGGGGATTAATAGCCTTGTACCACCATGCCTAGCTAAGACGTTTCTTTTGTAGGAGGCCCTTGAAGTGGCTCCTAGGCCAGAGTAACTTAGAAGTGTAACAGGTGGGCATATTTCGTGGCTGCGTATGTCCATTCCCAAGGGAGGGAATAACCTCGGTGCTGGTGCAGTTTTCAGCACACGTGAAGATGTAGTGAACCCGTTTTCATACCAGCAGGCTCAGGCTATGCCACCGCTGGCCATCACAGCCATAGCCCAGTGCCACTTGGGTAGGATCTGCACGTTACTCGCTTGCCTTCATTGAATTAAGTTTTCTGTTTTGTAATGAATTCACAAACCCTCAGCGTTACTCGAGTAGGATTGCTGCAGAAACATGTAAGGGCATTGTTCTGTTTCATGTAAAATTTTTAAAATACAGAAGTAAGTTTTGTTGTTCATAATAGTTATTTTTAGATAGTCTGTAGCCTTGAGGATTGGGGGCATAAATACACCCTAACTGCTGTAGGATAGTAGATACTGAAACGTTACCAGACAGACCCTGGGCTATCTAATCTCTAGGAGTTGCCCTAGAGAAGAAGCTATACCTTCAGAGGTGCCCATGACAACATGTGATCTTCAAGAGACTGGGCATAGTTCACAAACTTAAATGGGAGGCTGGCCCTAGCAAAAGTTACAGTGACCCCGGAGAAGGGCTGACCTCACTTTACAGTTGTGTCAAGTGGAATGGGCAATGAGTTATAGAAAATATTTGATAATGGAAAATATTTAGAGTGTTAACTGATTTTTAAGGACTAGAAATAATATATTTATTTTGGTACATTTTAATAAATAGTATATAATAAAGACAAGGAAACTATTGTTTTCCTAATTTGTGCTTATGTGTTTTTGAATTTCTCAAATATATTTGAATTTTGTGATACGATTAAAATAATCATGAAGATGTCTTGTGGTTAAAAAGAAAGTAATAGTTTTGGAGCCACACCTACAGTTGTTGGTAAAGAGGGTTTAGTCTGCGGGGCGGACGGGAGGGACGCAAACAGCAGAATTGTGTCTTAGCCACCTAGATCTAGATGCTGAGAGAGAACTTATTTAATCGTTGAGACTCCAGGCCCAAGACGGGCTAGTCTTGCTCACCCCTGTATCCTTGGTGCTTGGCACAGGCACCCCATAAATGGCTAGTGAGCAAGGTGAGTCAGTGCACCCTCCCGCCTTCTAGAGTTTTTGCCACGCTCTCGGATAAGCTTGCTGTGTTCTGCTGTGTTGCAGAGCAATCGAGAAGCTAAGTGGACATCAGTTTGAGAACTACTCCTTCAAGATTTCCTACATCCCTGATGAAGAGGTGAACTCCTCCTCACCCCCTCAGCGAGTCCAGCATGGGGACCACTCTTCCCGGGAGCAAGGCCACAGCCCCAGGAGCTCTTCTCAGGCCAGACAGATTGATTTCCCGCTGCGGATCCTGGTCCCCACCCAGTTCGTTGGTGCCATCATCGGAAAGGAGGGCTTGACCATAAAGAACATCACCAAACAGACCCAGTCCCGGTATGTGCCTCCAGGTGCTCCCTCCGCTTCCTTCTGAGGGGTCGCCTGCCTCCTGACTCCCCCCATCCTCAGGTCACTTGGTGCTGTAGCAGGAGGCTGTGTCGTAGGGACCAGTGCTTCTTTCCCTAGGCTGTGACTAGACTCACCTCAGGGGGACTGTCTGAGTGTTCATGCTAAGATGTATGTCATTCTCTGAAAGAACACTTAACGGACCTCCAGGAAGGATGATCCCTTGTGCTAGTGTTCCATGAGCATACCTAGTTCCACAGCAGCCGAGAGGGGCTCTGGTTATAGGATGCTCTGGTCCGGGCTCTCACCCTCTGCTGGGTCAGCCTTGCAGTGGAGTAGCTGTGCTTTAGACTGTCTAGGTTGTCGCCTATAGAAGCTGCGGGTCACTGCTGTACCAAACAAGAAAGTATGGGGCTTTGTCTGATTTTCTGTTTGAAGAGACTGGACTGGAGGTGGCAGTCAGCAGGCCAAGTCATTTGTACAATTGTTGATTTTTATGTGTCCGTAAGACCACGGCACACTGTCATGAAGATACAAGACTTGAAAACAGTGACTTGTGTTCAAGTTTTGATAAAACGTCTCACCTCCTTGAGTTTCGGTTGCTTCTGTGAAAAAGGAAGCCACAGTGTTTTACCAGGATTGCTGTGAGAATGCAAACACTTGGGCAGAGCAAATGAACTCGCATTTGCAGAGCCCCGAATTGCCAGCAAGTACTCATCCCTGAGCTGGTGTGTCTTACTCCAGTCAGTGAGCGTCCTGTAAGCTGAAAGGGAAGTCGCTCCAGTGTCTGAGGAAGTCCCAGCTGTAGACGCTGATGGGCAGGGGGAATGCTGAGATCAGACTGGAAGTTGTTGGCTGTGGTTCCTAAAAACCGGCCTTTCCTTTCCCAAGTAATTCTTAGTTATCTCTGTTCTGCTTCCAAAAACTGTGCAAGGTGGCTTAAGTTTCAGGGAAGTGAAACTAGTTCTTAAAGTTTGTGCCCAGTTGGAGAAAGAGACTGACGACTGGGCCCTTTCTAACAGCCGAGGGAAAGGGGCTGCGATCAGTTGTGTGATTTCTTAAAGTGAATGAAGCCAACAGGCCCCAAAGGAGCCTGACAGACTGTTAGATCAATAGTTTTAGGAGTCTGGAAGGAAAGCAGACTGCCAGTAGAAAGGGAACCAAAACCTCAGGAAGGCAGAGAAGCACGCCTCTGCCACTCTGTCCCTCCATCCCTCCTCTGTCCCTCTGTGGATGCTCAGACACATAAAGCTTGCTTGAATCTGGTGCTGGAATTTGGATTCACATAAGGCTTTTAAAAAGTTGTGCTCAGTGCAGAGGTCAGAACTGGTCCTTCTCACCTCACCCTTCACTTCCATGGACATTTGCAAGGCCACACAAAATGCTTCACTAACCAAGCTGACTTTATTAACAAGTTGGCTGGGTGCCTTGATCCTCAGCACTGCTGTCAGAATGGCCCACTTCTGACCAGAGCGGCAAAGAATTTACGTCTGGCACGAGCCCCTTTGCACACTGACCTGCTTGGATCGCAGCATCCGTTGCAAGTGTGCTGATGGCATTTCCTCTGTCCTCGCTGTATTGGCTGGGCTGTGTTTGTTGTGTCTGAGGCCCTATCGGATCTGTGCTATGGCTCCTCATTCTTTTCCTATAGGGTAGACATCCACAGAAAGGAGAACTCTGGAGCCGCAGAGAAGCCCGTCACCATCCATGCCACCCCAGAAGGGACATCTGAAGCGTGCCGCATGATCCTTGAAATTATGCAGAAAGAGGCTGACGAGACCAAACTGTAAGTTTGTACAATGCCCAGACCACTCAGTGCTGTAAGATGAAGAAAGCTCCGTGAGATCACAGCACACAGAGTCAGTTGTCCAGGACTCATGGTGGCTCGCAGAAATCAGGGAGCCTGTGGGGTCTGACCTAGGTCCTCTGCACATACCTTATAACTAAGCAGCTTGGTGCTCTTTCTAACAGTGAGAGCCGGCCGGGATGGTCCCTGACCCTTTTACTCCTCCTGGATGGCTTCGTCCAGCCTTGATGTGACAATGTGTGCCTGGTCTTGTAGTAGCAAATTATGCTGTGTTTGGTTGATGTTCCTGGGAGGTCTGCTCTTTCTGAGGGAAGATAGAAAGAGGGTGGATCTGGGAGAGAGGGGAGGTGGAGGATCAGGATGTAATATATGAAAGAATTTTTTAAAAAAGAAAGAAATATGTTAAAAAAGCTCTAAGTGTGTTAATAAAGGTGGAGGGATCATGTTTTTATTACTCAGGGTTCTCTAGAGAAACAGAATTGATAGAATAAATTTATACATATGCATATATACTCATTCATAATATACTGTAGACATGTACGTATGTGACACAATGTCAGTATATGCTGTATATTACATATACAATGTGTGTATGAAATATATATGTATATTTGTATATGAATATATTCTGTATATATGTATAGATTCACATATGTGTATGTGTGTATATTATATATAAAGAGGGAGGGAGGGAAGGAATTTACTAGAGTGGCTTACAGGCTGTGGTCTAGCTAGTCCAACAATGTCTGTCTACCAATAAGAAATCCAAGAGTCCAGCAGCTGAGTCCATGAGGCTGCATGGCTCAGATGGTCTTCAGTATATGGACTCCCAGAGAAGTACACCCTAGTGCCAGTGAGAGCATGGGCACGCAGGCCAAAGGCAGAGGCTTCCTTCTGCCAAGTCCTGATACAGGCTGCCAGCAGAAGTGTGGCCCCAATTAAAGGTGGATCTTCCCACTTCGTATAATTAAGAAAAATAGCTGGGTGGTGGTGATACACACCTTGATCTCAATGATCAGGAGGCAGAGGCAGGCAGATCTCTGAGTCTGAGGCCAGGCTGGTCTACAGAGTTCCAGGACAGCCAGTGCTACACAGGGAAACCCTGTCTCGAAAAAAGAAAAATCCCTCACAAGTGTACCCAGCAGCTTGGGTTTTCCTTAAATTTATCTGTAGTTTTAAAAAGATTGTCGGTCTTCCAAATCTGCCTGTGGGCAGTGGTGGAGCTGTGTAGAGGAGCAGGGCGTGGACTGAGTAGTAAACTCATTTGGCCAATAATAGCAGGTGTGATGTGCAAAACTAAGACTAGAACGTTCTAAAAAGAGCAACATTGCCAATCTGTTAGCACATCACAGACAGGGCTTAGCCCCGTGCCTAACGGTTATCAAGCACTTGCTTTACTTGGGACTTTTGGAAGTCCCCCAGATGTCATGGCTCGATTTGAGGGAACCCTTCTTTGATTTAAATTACTGAGGCTTTTACAAATGACAGTCTCCTCAGTTCTTTTGATTAGTTGTGTGCAGCTTAGGAGATGGCCACAAAGTGGATGTGTGAATGGGGGCTTTAAGATGTCCTATAGAGCCGAGATAGATAAGAGTTCGCATGTCCGAAGTGAGTTTTTCTGAGCAGCTGTCCCATGCACGCCTGAGCTGCGTGTTGAAGCTACAGCTGTGGGCAGGAGTAAACGCAGCAGGAAGAAATCAACCTGCTGACTGCTCATGAGGACACTCACCCAACATTCAGGGACACAGGGAGTGACTGGAGGGCCCGGGGGGAGAGTAAAAGGCAAGGGACACATGATAAGACCCTAAAACTTCCTTTCCATTTGCCAAGCATGTATCATGTACCATGTGCTGGACGTTGCTGTGTGCACTGGGGACCCAGCAGGGGATACAGGCTCCTCCGCCCTCTGAGGGTGTGCGTCCTAGGGCAGCCTCTTTAGCCAGATTGCTTATTTGAGTGCCTTGCAGTACTAATTGCCTTGTGGTAATGTGTCCCTCAGACGCTTCCATTTTGAAGGGGTAGAAAATACAAAGTAGTAAGAAACATATCGTCACATAGCATGAAGTGCTAAAATTAAAAAAGTTCTTATGTCACTGAAACCTTGGGCTCAGAGATCTGGGACATTTTTCTGCTTTGCTTTCCTTACAATAACTCAGACCTTGTATCACCACAGAGTGGTATCCCAAACTTGAGAGGAAGGCCGTCATTTCCTTTTTAAATGTTTTGAAGAATTGTGTTAAAATACACCTAACAATATATTCATTCACACTCTTACGAAAGAAACAGCTCTGGCTGCCTGTTCTTGCCTCCCTGTCCACCTGCTGTTCTTACCAACTGGGTTACTTTAGACCAGTGGTTCTCAACCTGTGGGTTGTGACCTCTTGGGGGTCGAGCAACCCTTTCAGAGGAGTCACGTGTCAGGTATCCTGCATATCAGATATTTATAGCAATAGAAAATTAGTTATGAAGTAGCAACAGAACTAATCTTGTGGTTGGGGTCACCACAGCATGAGGAACTGTATTAAAGGGCTGCAGTGTTAGGAAGGCTGAGAACCACTGCTTTAGAAACTTGACGTGAATGGGTCATGTGGCTCTGCGTTCCTGTGGCTGGTTTAGCTCAGTCCCCCAGTTCCTCCAGGTGTAGCACATAAAGTGCCCGCCCCTCTGGATTATACTGCTGCGCCTTGGCTGTTTCTCAGTGATATTGCTGTGAATGTCAAGTCACAAATGATCATGATTTTTATTTCTTTTTTTTATATATGCCCAGAAGTGGGATTGCTGGATTTTTATGGGATTCTATTTTTGTTATGTAGCTCCCCCTGGCCAGGCCACCTTTGGACTCACTCTGCCATCTGGCTACTAGTGAGTAGAAAGTGGAAGTAGAGTTAGCCTGTGGCTCGTTTGAGTCGGGATTTGTAAGCTGAGGTTTGGAAAGAAAAAGTTCATAAGAACTTTTTATGAGAAGTTCATAAAAAGTGCAGGTGATGGCTCAGGAGAAGACAGAGTGTCTGTCCTAAGTGTTGATGAATGTGCTTTGTCTTCTAGAGCTGAAGAGGTTCCTCTGAAAATCTTGGCCCACAATGGCTTGGTTGGAAGACTTATTGGCAAAGAAGGCAGAAATCTGAAGAAAATTGAGCATGAGACAGGGACCAAGATAACCATCTCATCGTAAGTCACCCCTCAGACTATTACTTGCGGGAGCAGCTGACTGAGCCTTCCTGTCCTCTGCTTTTGTCCATGCCATGCCATAGTCTCTCTGAGCAGCCATGGAAACTGACCCACGGGTGGGCTCTACAGTCCCCAGAGTGCTCACCAGCACCAGGGAGACTCTGGGCCCACCCCAACACCATGAAAATCTTAAAATAAAAAATGTGGTCTATTCTGTGGCACCAGCCTGTAATCCAGGCTCTCAGAACAGGCAGATGAACCAAAAGTTCAAAGCAAGCTTTGGCTGCACAGTGAAGTCAAGGAGAGCCTTAGCGAGACCTTTCTCAAAATACAAAGTAAGACTTGGGGCTGGGGATATAGCTCAAAGGTAGAAGACTTTCCTAGCACGTGTAAGGCTGAGGTTCAATCCATAGTCTGTGCCCATAGATTGTATATAATGAAAGTCACTAGTAAGACTTGAGATTAGATAGCAGGATTCTATGCTGTAGTGTTAGGAGAAATCAAGTCTTTACTGAGATGTGCCTGTGGTCTGGAGTTTTATTCTTCCTGTCTTTTCCCCGTTGGCCAGCTTACAGGATTTGAGCATATATAACCCTGAGAGAACCATCACGGTGAAGGGTACCATTGACGCTTGTGCCAATGCTGAGATAGAGATCATGAAGAAACTGCGCGAGGCCTTTGAAAACGACATGCTGGCCGTTAATGTAAGCATCCAGTTCTTCCCCTTCTGCTGGTTTCCCCACAGCTAAGCCAGGACCCAGGCTCTGCAAGGATAGCTGTCCTTCAGCTGAGGAGCTTAGGGAAGAGGGAAGAGGGAAGGGCTTCAGACTTCTTAGGATTAAAGATGTCGGTAAGCTGGGGGAAACACGGATCAGTGTGAGCTGCTAAAATCATACCTTCCAGACCATAAAGTGGGATGATGTTCATGATCACATGTGTTAGAAAAGGGAGATGCCAAAGCTGGGCTACACATAGATGTGCAAAGTAGTGTGGGTCAACAGGGCTGGATGCTGCCTACCAGAGTAAAAGTTAGAGAGCCAGGAAAGTGGGTTCCCCTGTTTTCTAAACTTCGTATAATATTATTGTGTCTTCTCTCTCTTTAAAATTTCAAGTATATACTTTAGCCAGGCCTGGTGACCACACACCTTTAATCTCAGAACTGGAGAGACAGAGAGATAGGTGGATGTCTGAGTTCGAGGTCAGCCTGCTCTACATAATGAGTTCCAGGCCAGCTGGGGCTGCATAGTGTGACTCTGTTTCCAATATATATATGTAAATAAATTGACTGGGCTGGAGGTTTGCCTCTGTGGTAATATATGTGTAGCATATGTAAGGCCTAGAGTTAATTATTCAGGGTCAGAACAAATGGCATCATGGGGTATAGAGACCTTGTCTGTATAGGCTGCTTGGGGGCAGATCTGTCTGAAGCAAGCCTGAGGGAGGAAGGGAATGGCCTAACTCTGATTGGCGTCTCTCGCTTGCTGGTGGACGCTCTTAGTTCTCCTAGTAAATGCTGTCACCCACTTAAGTGCTCTCTGGCACTTGAAGAAGACCACACATTCTTCCTATTTCTTATCTCTCACTTTATAATTGTTGAAATTATTTCTCCGTCAGCAAAGCCCAGACTCAATCATCTCAGAAGAGTAAAGTCTCCTTTTTCACTATAATTTTCTGAGAGTGGAAAGGGTCCTTCGATCAGCCGTCATAGGCCACAACCCAGCCTCCACGGTTATCAACCTCATTGACCTCTTGGCTTCATTTGACCCTTCCTCTACTTCCCATCCCACCAACGAACATTTCACAGGGGAATAAACAGCGACAAAGCCGTCTGTTCTGCAGCCCCACCTCCCCACAGCAATGCTGCACCGTTCTTTCTCATGTCGGCATCCCAGCCCCACCTCTCCAGCCCCCCCATCACCTCAGTGACTGAGGCAGGATGGAGAGCACCCCATGTGGACACCTTTGTGGCAGTCATCTGGCCATCTCATTCTTTGCTTGCGGACTCTTGATCTCTTTGCTAAGCATCTCTTCCCGTGAACACCTGGCTAGACTCAGAAGAGGTGTGGGTGTCCTGCGCGTCGCTATCCAGAGCGGGTCACTTAGGTACCTGTGTCAGATCCATGCTGTGTGAGACAAACACCAGGGTTTAACAGGCAGCGTGGGGACCCGGGTTTGCTGTTCTGCGTTCGTATGAAAAGGATCATTTTCCAGGGTGACTTTACTCACAGAGAAACTGCCTCATGTTTAGAAAGCTAAGGAATGGGGCAGGCTGGGCACAGGCCGGCATAGGGCCAGCATCTCTCCACCTCCAACCCTGATGAGCATCCTAGATTGAAATGTTAAACAAGCAGTGAGCTCTTGAAGTAGCTGACCCGTCCTTGGGAACTAGAAAAGACTGTTGTTTGCTCTCGTTGAACAAATATTGTGTACTAGTGTGTCAGGTACTGTCCTACAGCTCTAAGTACATGGCCGCTGATCCAAGGAAGTGAGGCAGGAGCCAGGCACTGAGCCTTTGATTCTGTTGTGTGTCTTTGAGGAAATAGGAGTGTGAGGAGAGCCTAGAAAGGCCATGTCAACTGGGAGGGATGGGGGACACCTGGGCAGGGGAACAAGGAGCAACAACAGGGTGCAGGGGTCCAGAAGTGAAAGGGCACAGGGTATTCAGGGAGCAGGATTTGCTGGGGTAGGAAGCAGCTAGTGAAGGCGTCGTTGGCCACAGTCAGAGATGTAGATATACAGGTTGGGATCTGTTGTCTACACCCAGTCCAAGGTGAAGAAGTTCAGGTACCTAGGGGAGCTGACCGGGAAGCAGGGGTGCTATGCAGACAGGAAGTGAACCTGACCGCTGCAAGCCTGGCCCTTCCGGCCTTCTCTCCCTCATCTTTTTTCTTCATTTCTGTTCCCAGCAACAAGCCAATCTAATCCCAGGGTTGAACCTCAGTGCACTTGGCATCTTTTCAACAGGACTGTCCGTGCTCCCTCCACCAGCAGGGCCCCGTGGAGGTCCCCCCAGTGTCCCCTACCACCCGTTCGCTGTAAGTAGCTCAGTGTCTTGAGGGTCACTCATGTGGGGCACCTCCAGGCAGTGTTGAGTGAAGGTAAAAGCTTTTATTTGCAGTCCTGTCTTCATGGTGGGAAGTGACCCTGGCCCTGGCTCTGAGTCTGCGCACTCAAGCGTGGTAAGTGCCGTGCTGCAGAGAAAAGGAACTGCTCACCAATTCGCTAAGTGGAGGTCCTTTTAAAGGGGGAAAAAAAGGGTTACTTATTTATTATGTATATGATGTTCTGCCTACATGCCAGAAGAGAACCCCAACTCATTACAGATGGTTGTGAGCCACCATGTGGTTGGTGGGAACTGAACTCAGGTCCTCTGAGAGAACAGTCAGTGCTCTTAACCTCTGAGCCATCTTTCTAGCCTCCCAAGGTCCATTTGATAAAATTAAAAGTTGTTGGTCTGGCAGTGATGGAGCACACCTTTAATCCTAGCACTAAGGAGGCTGGGGCAGTTCAAGGTCAGCCTAGTCTACAGAGCAAGTTCCTGGAAACCAGAAGGGGCTCTACAGAGAAAACCTGTCCCAAAAGAGCAAAACACAAACAGAAAAAAGTTGTTATTTCAAACAGTAATCATGCGTACTTGTTATTTAATCTAAATGTTAAGGTACCTGGATTATTCTTGAATGCATACACATTCCCACCTTTATTGAAAGGAAGTTTTAAAAAGAAAATGCTAGCGTGTTCGCTTCTAAACCGCACGCCGTCTGATATATAGCAGGTTCTCAGTAAGTATCGTTTGACTCGTAATTCTCAGCGAAAGAAACGTGAATGGTTTGTTTCCTGCTTGTTGCTCTTACTCAGAGCCGTTGTTCAAGATTAGTGTGTTTCCAGATGGGGGCTGAAGACATCCACCACACCACGGCTGCCTTCCCCCATTTTTTCTTCTCCAAGCACTTGTTTGTGTGTAAGCTGTTTTCAGTGGGGGAGAATCAGATGGGCAAGGGAACTCTGTTCTGCTCCCTGGTGTAGGCATGGCTAGTGGCTCCTGGGGGCCCCTGTGTTCACACCCTCAAAACAGGCATAGACTAGCACCATGCCCACAAGCCCAGCACATCCTGACTGACCTGCAGGAGCTTCCTGGGTGTTTGGGAGCCCTGTAGACCATCTCTTTGGTTCTGTCCAATTTCCTCTAAACTAAAGGAACTGCACGTGTGCCTGTGATGGAGGGGTTGTGGCGGAAGCACGCGGGATGGATGTGTTCACGTTCTTTATCTTTGCTGGGAGATGTGATAACCAACCGTTAAAAGACACTTAAGACATCTCACTTCCTGCATAGGGAGCTCTGTAGCATTGGTCTGAAAGTTAAAGCCCTTGATAGCTGAAATTACAGTAGAAAATGAGTATACAGCTTTCTCTTAGACCAAATTTGTGCAGGCCTTTTCAGCATAGAGGAATGTTTTCCTAGTCTGTGAATGGCGATGCACGCCTGTAGTCCTAGCCCTTGGAAGGCTGAGGGGGTCGGACAGACTCCAGACGTTCCAGGCAGCCTGGTCTCTACATAGTGAGACCCTGTCTCAAAATGAAATAGATAAGTCAATACGAACCAAACATGGGGTGTTTTCTTTTGGGCTTTTGGCCTTTCATGTCTTGCTAAGGAAAAAGCCCCTTCATTCAAGATTGTAAACAATGTTTTCCTTATACTAATTTTCAGTCGTTGGTTTTTCTGGGGGATGTTTATATTGTATTTTACAGGGAATTGATTTTGATCTAACTTTATTATTTTTCCAAGGGAATAGCCAGTTTCCCAAAGGAAGTTATTAATATGCTGTTTTATCGTCAGCTTGAAATCCAGCTCTCTACTTCGTTTTGCTTTTGATTCTTTGTGACAGGGTCTCCTATAGCCCAGGCTGGCCTCCCGCTAACTCTGTGATTGAGGGTGGCTTTGAGCCGCTGATCCTCCTGCCCCCTCCAGTTGTTCCTCAGCCTACCTCATCGTCTTTCTGCACTTCGTCCCTTTCCACTGAGCTCTGTGTCTGTGTAGAAGTATGTGTAGAACTAGCGTTTTATGACATCTGGCAGTTTCAACAGAAAGCTTGCTTTTGTTTTTGTGTTTTTCTGCAAAGAATGAGTTGGAAAGATGGCAGCTTTTATTGTTTGACAAAATGGAAAATATACTGGTTTTTTTTTCCTTTAGATATGATAAATCCTACTCATAAAACCTCTTGACCTGGCAACTTTGTTTGGAAAAAGATAACTTTTCCCCATTTCTTTTTTTTTTTTTCCCCATTTCTTTAGAAAGTTTCTGACTTGGCTTTGTTAGTTTGTAGTAGTCTATCAAAGTGTCCCTTTCAGTTGTTGTGCTGAACCTGAGTAGAGGATGCTTGCCTGTCACGTGCAGGGCTGTGGGTTTGCCCTCCACGCAAGAGGGAAATCCACTTTATCTCTGTTTTAGATACAGCACCTTGAAGTGGTGCATAACAGATTGCTTCATTTTTTAAATGGCCAATCTTGTGGTCTTTTGTCTCTTTTGTTTCCTAATATTATATGTTTGTATTCTTAGTTTTTTTTTTTTTTAATGTTTTTCAAGACAGGGTTTCTCTTTGTAGCCTTGGCTGTCCTGGAACTGACTTTGTAGACCAGGCTAGCCTTGAACTCTCAGAGATCTGCCTCCCGAGTGCTGGGATTAAAGGCATGCACCACCACCGCCGGACTCTTTCTTAATCTCCTAATAAGATTTGCAGAGTTTCCCTTTTCCATTATTTATTTATTTACTGGCAGCATTTCCCTGTAGTGCTGGCTGGCCTCAACTCTGTGCTTCTGCTTTGCTACCTGACCTCAGTGCCCTGATGACAGGCACCTGACAGCACACCTCGTTTCTGCGGTACTGGGGAGGTACTTACAGTGGAACACACGTCCAGTCTCCTGCTAAAACCCAGAGATCAGAAAAGCAAAACAGCCAGCCACTGGCTCTTACACAGTCACAGTCAGAAATGGAGATCCTGCCTCCAAAAATCTCAGAATGAGACTGTGTCTGAGAGCTGTCTCCTCCATTTTATAATCCTCTCTAGGACTGGGATTAAAGGCATGTGCCGTTTCTATGGCAACTAATATGGCTCCTGGGTTTAAAGGTATGTGGTACCACTGCCTGGTCTCTAAGGCTGTTTTATTCTCTGATCTTCAGGCAGTCTTTATTTATTAAAATTCAAATGAAATGCCACTGCAGATAAGGGATTCCATTTGTTATTGCAGTGTCTCCTGCATTCTGGGAGCTCTCTTTCTGAACTTGTTCACCCGGCCTGTTGATTAGCCTTGCTCCCTCCCCTCTCCCCACTGACTTATACATGCCTAATGAGATGTAATTGCACTTTCATATATTTAGTGAACTCGAGAGGATATATTAGTGAGTCCTTAGGGAAGTTTATTGATAGTGTTCCCCTGAGACTGCTCCAGGCATGTTCAGATCTCAGGCTGCAGCCATCCTGTTGGCAGAGGTGTGGGTGAGCCAGCCCAACGTTAGCATGGGACAACTGTTGTACTACTCATCCGTTATGTGGTGGCATGGGCAGGACAGAGATGCCTTCTCCTGCGCCCATCCCTCTGCGTGCTGGCCCTGCCCCTCACCAGCTGCAGCACTGGGGAGAGCGGCCCCTACACCTCGCCTGGACAACACAGTAGAGCTGGCCGTGAAGGTGTAGATGTGAGAGAACCAACCCTGAGGACAAGAAAGGAGAACTGCCCCGCCCCTTGCTCACAGCTGCAAGTGGTGAGCTAGCCAGGGCAATGCAGGAGAGCTCACCCAGGTGTTGAGGACGAGGGAGAGCTGGCCAGCTGGCCAACCCCGCATCTACCCAGACCCAGAACCAGGGTTATGTGTGATCTGAGACCTGCTGGAACACATGAAGCGGTCCTGTAGACCCAAATCTGCAGGATTTCCACAACACAGGGAAACAGAAGGAAAACCAGAGGAGCCCAGTGAGGGCCCAGCATCAATTGTGTAGCAGAAACCAGAGGCCTCGAACCAGACCAGTGACTGCAATGAACTCTGCAAGTAACGATATAAGGGGAAAATATCTCAGGCTGCAGAGTCAGCCAAAGGTCCAGGTTCATTTTGCTTCTAGTCTTAGTTACTAGCCCCCATACCCTCTTATGCAGTGGCATTTCATTTGTATTTTAATAAATAAATAAAGCTTGCCTGAAGATCAGAGAGTAAAACAGCCCTACTGGCCAGCCTTACAGACCAGGCACTGGTAACACACCTTTAATCCCAGTAGACACACTAGTTTGCCATAGAAACTGGGTGGTGCATGCCTTTAATCCCAGTCCTAGAGAGGATTATAAAACGGAGGAGACGCTCTCACACACAGTCTCATTCTGAGATTCTGGGAGGCAGGATCGCCATTTCGGACTGAGGTCGAGGTAAGAGTCAGTGGCTGGTTGTTTTGCTTTTTGTATCTTCAGGTTGAACCCCAGTTTCTATCTCTGAGTTTTTATTAATCGTGCTACACTCTTCCCTCAATTGTCCCAAGAGAACCCAGAGTGGATAAGCTGCTGGGGATAGCGACATTTTGACAGTCTGGGACAGAACACTAAACCTTCCTAGCCTTGGAACCTGTCCAAGTTCTTCCTTGCCTGTCCTGGCCCCACGCTGTCTCTGGTTCCAGAAGGAACCTGCTGTCTTTTCAGCCGGGGATGAGTCTGTCGTCACATCAGAGCTATTGAACCCCTTGAGTATAATACATAAGCCTGGCCTGGGCCGCCCATATGCCTTCCTCACTGCTCGTACTGACGGTCTCTGGTTTCTCCTGATTCAAGGGTCAGCCATCTCTGAGCTGTACCCTGGACTCTGCAGTTCTTCCAGCAAAGTGGCTGAACTAATGGTGACTCCTGCCAGTGTTCACAGTGTCTGCCGCGTACTCTGTCTGCCCACTAGCAGAGTCAAACTAGGCTAAGACCTCCTGCCGCTGTCCCCTTGTGGGACACACCTAGCTGTCACCTTCATGAAATCACCGCCCCTCCCCCACATACTCATAATGTGCTAAGGTTTTTAATTATATATATGTTTTATACACACAACACACATCCCTCATACAAGGATTGGGTCAGTGAGCCCAGTGTCAAGAGGAAGTTGCTTGCGGACAGGCAGATCGTTCTGATCACCAGAGGAAGCAGAATTAGAAAATCCCATCCCAGTGGATGCTGTCAACTCCACCCTAGCATGGGGAGGTGGGAAAGAGAACTGCCACCGTAGACACCTGCTCATTGTAATAAGCACTCGCTTACACTTCTAAAACAGCCCACACTTCCTGGCTCCCAGGAGTACTTGAGGTCAGTCCACATCTTCACCAGGGATGATCTCAACCACCTGCTTTCTCCCATGTCCTTCAGAATGCCTTTGTAGTCACCACACTAGCCTTATGTCTGATGTTCAAAGACACCAACCATCCTGGCCTGACCTCCCAAGGACCCTGCTGCTCCGCATACTCCTTACCCAGGGCTGCAAGTGATCCTGGTCTCTGAGTCTCACAGTTGCTGCCCCTGGGCTTCTCACTCATTCCATCTTTGTGGCCACTGTCTCAAGACTTCTCTGAAGTTATTTTTTTGCATTTGCCTCACAAATAGACCGTAAGTCCCCTCATGTCCCTCTCTCCTAGAGTAAGGTCACCCACACGGTGGGTACTCAAAAGCTTTTGAGTGAGTGAATGTATGGCCAAACACAGTCAGCTACAGGCATTTGAGTCTGGGGGGGACTCAAAGTAGATGGCCAGACACAGTCAGATACAGGCATTTGAGTCTGGGGGGGACTCAGAAAGTAGATGGCCAGACACAGTCAGATACAGGCATTTGAGTCTGGGGGGACTCAGAAAGTAGATGGCCAGACACAGATACAGGCAGTTGAGTCGGGGGGGAGGGGACTCAGAAAGCTATGAAAAATGGTCCCATTTGTAAAAAAGCTAGAGATTCAGGCTTGTGTAGGTCTGAGTCTCAGCTAGAAATGACTCCTTGGGCTGCTGAATTCAGAATTCTTTCCTTCTAGCAGCCCTGAGGCTCCGACGTAGGGATAAAAGGAATCCGTCCTCATTATCGGTTTACAGCTAATTTAACAATCTCTCCTTTATCCCAGGGTGGGACTGACGTGGTTCATGTTAGGACCCTGAACACTTGGAATACAAAAGGCGCTCTAGATCCGTTCTTGGCCTTGCATGGGCGCTAGAATCATGATTTACAGGAATCGCTTTTGCCATGAGAGCTGAAGGAACAGTGCTTGGGGCCAGAAGCAGGCAGAGGCCCCGTTTCCCCTGGTTAGAGCCTTGAGTGAAAAGCTCAGGAATTGGCTCCCCTCTACCAGCCACACCCCAGAATAGAACCTGCACAGAGAAAGGGCTGAGGTCCACCTGCTTCCCAGAGAGTCTTCAGAAAGAGGCAGTTCCCTCTTGACCTACCTTCGAAGCGGTCAAGCTTCTCTGAGACCCTGGTCTCGTGGCCCCCCTCTTGTGGGCAGAGACATTACTGCAGCCTCTTCAGTTGTACCAGGGCGTGAGCCCTGGAGCTGCAGGTGTGGCGCCCTATCCTAGGACCTGGGAAGCCCTGCGTGGTGCTCATAACTCGGTCTTTTCTCTCCAAGCTCAAAAGAACAGTTGTTTCTGTTGGTAAGGAATCGTAAGTGAGTCTTATCTGGAACTGAGTCTAGCTGGAGACTGGGACAGTGGAAGACATGCTCATCTCCTGTCAGGCAGGGCTGTGTGCCTTGATGCTCCGTGCCTGTCACCATCATTCTGGTGGTCACAGTGAGAGTGCTGTTGAATTACTATGTGGCCGTATGTGAAACATAGTTAATGCAGCTTTGCTCAGTGTGTGTGAACTTGGATAGCTTTCTGTCTCGCAGGACCACTGTGAGGTTTACAAATTTATAAATAGATTTAAAATATCATAGTCCCTGCTATACCGTAGGTATTCAATTAAAAAGTAGCTACTGTTTCAACTTTGATTTTTTTTTTTTTGATTTTCAATTTTTCGATAGCTAACTCTGCTTCATGAGTGCACATCTGCCCTCCAGCTCCTCCCCTCTTACCCCTCCCCTCCCCTCCCCACATCTGCACACAGTGCCTTTATCTGTCTGGCTCCTTTCTCTTACCTTCACTTTCAGTTTCTCCAAACTGAGTTTCTATTCCTTCTGATCTCTGCTGCTAACTGGTCTGTCTTCCCTGGATCACATTCGCTTGTTCTGAATAATTCTTGGCCTTTGTCCCCAGAGATCTGTTGTTTATAATGTACAACGTGTAATTCTCCCATAATGTAGGAGCCACTAGCCCTGTCGGCACCAAAAGGTGGGTCGGAGCAGTGAGAGCGTGAGTAGGCTGAACTAGAGAGAGCAAGGCTTGTCTTAGAAGCTGCATTCCTAGGGCCTGTTGCAACCAGGTGACACCTGAGATTAGGAACACAGAGGTACACATTGTAGATGTGACAGTGTTGCTGGTTGCAGAGCGTGTGTGCTGCACAGAACAGACAGCCGACTCACTGCCTGCCTCTTTTGTATGCAGACCCACTCCGGATATTTCTCCAGTCTGTACCCTCACCACCATTTCGGCCCGTTCCCGCATCATCACTCCGTAAGTGCCCCTCGCATGTGCCCCAGCCACACTTCTTCCTGCTCCATGGCCCAGTCCCACATAGCCCCTGAAGAACAGGCCTGTGAATGGTCACAGTATTCTCTGCTGTGACTCTAGACTGTCTCAGGAGTGATGCAGCAAGCCACCCTGCTTCACACTCAGTGCAGAGCCTCTTCGGTAATCCTAAATACTGCGAGAGCGAGGTGGGAGGATTGAGAGTTTGAGGTCAGCCTGGGCTGTGTAGTGACTTTCACGCCAGACTAAGCTACATACAGAGTAAAGTCCTAACTTAAAGAACAAGAGCCTAGAGCTATGGCTCAGTCATTGAGAGCGCACATTGCTCTAATGGGGCTGAAGTCAGGTGGCTCACAGTCACTGGTAACTCCAGCTCCAGAGGATTCAGTATCTCTAGCTTTTGTAGGCACCTGTGCTTACATAGACATACACACACACGCACACACGCACGCACACACACACACACACACTTTTTAAAAGTATATTAAAAACACAATAGAAATAAAACCAGTTAGGAAATATTACTAAGCTAAAGAAAAGTTTGCAGTAGGCAGGGGATGTGGTTCCACTGACAAAGTACTTGCCATCCAAGCATGAGGACCCGAGTTCAAATCCTAAGCACCCATATAAAAGCCAGGTGTGGTGGGGTGCTCCTTGTGCTGAGGAAGTAGTCGCAGGATCCCTGGATCTCACTGGCCTGGTAGTCTAGCTAAATGAGCAAGCCTAGGTTCCATGGGATACTCTGTCAAAACTAAGGTAGAGAGTGACTGAGAAAGCCTCTGGCCTCCAACATGTATGTATACTCATGAACATGTGCATAGGCTTACACCACACTAGACTTTTTTTTCTCATTTTGCTGGAATTCTTAAAAGTCTAATAACTGAAGACAACATCATTCCCATAAGAAGTATTGGCAGCCTGGCCCAGGAGCCTCTCTTTCCTTGGGGTTTCCAGGGAGAGATGGCTTGCCCCCCTCCCTCGTGGGGCCTGGGCACAGCAGGGTGAGTCTCCTTGTGAATTGGTAGTCCTAGTGATGGGACAGACTGGACAGCTGTCTCTGTGGCCAGGTGTGTTTAATAAATTTTTACTGTTTCACGTATTACTATATATATGCAGGCTGGAGCGGGCCATGGCACCATGTGGAGGTTAGGCCAGTTTGTCTCCTTCCATGGCAGGTTTCAGGGGTTGAACTTGGGTCATCAGGCTTGCATGATAAGCACTTTTTAATCCACCACACCGTCACAAAATAACCATTTTGGTTCTTGGATGAAGGCACAGGAAACGTGTGCATTAAATCTGTGTATGTCAGAGAACCCAGGAAAGGGCAGATGCTTGTGCCCAGCAAACACGGTTGCTCAGAGGTGCTCATAGGCTCATGCTGTCCTGCTTGGGTTCATATACAGAGTACCAGGCCACACAAAGATCAAACGTGCCGGGTTGGCCGTCTCTGGCCATCTCCCCGGGTAGTGAGGCCTTCCCGTTCTGGTACTCTCAGGGTTACTTGGCTGGCCATGAGGTGCCAGGTTAGAGGGACAGTTGTACACTTGTTCTTTTCTAGTACCCAGAGCAGGAGACTGTGAATCTCTTCATCCCAACCCAGGCTGTGGGTGCTATCATCGGGAAAAAGGGGGCGCACATCAAACAGCTGGCTCGATTTGCTGGAGCCTCCATCAAGGTAAGATTCTTGCCACCAGCTGCCTGTCCCCATGGTCCTCCTCTTGTCTGTGCCAGACAATTCTTACAATCTCCCTCCCCTGCCCAGAGACAGAATCTCCTCCCATTCTTCATCTTACTCCTTTCCTTTCGACCAAACAACTAAGTCAGAAGAAAGCTACGAGTAATGACCAAACCGCATCCTCCGGGGATTAGCATTGTCCACTCTTCCCAAGAAGATAAAAGAAGACTGAAGATTTATCCCAAGCTAAGGGCGTGTGCTCGAGTGGAATGAGCATTTGTGCTTAGCACTCAGCACATCCGAGCTGCTGTTAGTCCGTGCTTCAAGGATTTACAGACTGTGAGAAGAGAAATGGAAGGAAGAGCTTTCTGGAAAGTGCTGATAAAATCATAGATGGGGCTGATAGCATCCCCTGTTAAGAGACTAGGACTGAGCAGAAGGCTAGGGAAGTCCTCTTGGTTTGTAAAACTGTTGTGTGCAGAAGTGGCTGCAGTTAGTCCCGGATTCTGCCTCCCTTATTGTCAGGGATAGTTTGCCGCAGGCCTGCCTGGAGCTTTGCTCCGCTGAGACGCTGCAAACCCCATGGAATACTTGCCATTGCTATGGAAAATAATTCTCTACTATAAGACAACCCAGAATTACGAAAACAAGTTTCATGACTTGGAGAGAAAGAATACTTACACTTTCTCCCTGAGAGCTGGAATTTCTCCCACAGAAAGTATGACAGGGAAAACAAAACAACAACAAAAACTTCCTGAATTGTGCAGAATGAGAACTGCAGTGCCACTGGGGAAGAGTTGCACCTTGCTGGACTCTCAGACTGCATCTGTCTCTGCAGTTAAAGACTCACATTTGAACTGGGTGAAGCCTAGACCAGGGTGGCTGCCATGTGGGTGTGGGGTCCGCTCTGCCCAGTGGCTTGACACAGGCTGCATCCTGGCCTAGCTGATGGAGAAAGCGAGGATGAGAACAGGCTGGCTGCACCCAGAAGATCTTTGCTGGTGCTCGGTGCTGTGGTCAGGAATGCTGAAGGACCACAGTGAGACAGTTTGGACTAAAGAGCTTTGCGGGCCCTTTCACCCCTGCCCCACTTTATTGGGGAAAGTGAGCCATGGAGAGAATAGGGACTAAATGAAGCCTAAGCCAGCCTAGCTCTTGGATAGATTAAATCCCATTAACTTCTAGCAATAAGCATCTCCTATGGCTGACCACAGCAGTAATTTCCCCACCTGCTAATGCTTGTGAGAAATGGAGCCCAGGAAGTCTGACTGTCCACCCAAGGCCACAGAACTAGAGTGTGATTGTCCTGTTTCTGCTCCATGACTGCCTTCTCCCATAGCAACCCTACTGATCATTCCCAGTTAGCGCCTTCAGGGAAATGCAGAGGGGCAGGAGGAGTTCAGGCACAGAGGTGACTAGTCCATTAGACATCACTCCACAGCATTCTCAGTTAAGGATTTAGTGCCGGCGTTGGATCTTGAAGTTGACAGGGCTTCCTGCCACCTGCCGCAGGGCTAGCCCATCCCAGCCTCCATCCCCTGGACAGACTGTGACTGCCACGCAGAAATAACTTCCTGCCATGGTCCTTGAGCTTCCCTATTCATTCTTTATCTTTGGCTCCCATCTGTCCTCATGCCACAGAGTAAGTAGTCAAGGCCAGAGGAGTCTTCAGAGGCCTTGATGAAGGGGTCCCTCTTTCTAGATCAGTGCAGGTGCCAGCGTGCTATGGATGAGTGTTCCCAAGAAAGCTGGGACTCAGTGCTGGACTCTGAGGTCCTAGGGGAGACCCTTGTTTAGAGCCTAGATGGGTGAAAACAGAATCATTCCTCTGAGCTTTGGAGACAGTATGCTCACACAGCAGTGGGAAGGAACCTCCCTGACCCTGGGTTCCTTCTGCCTGAGCGGCCCTGTAACAGACTGTGTTCCTCCTCTTTTGTTTGTTTACTTGCTTGCTTGGGAGTCGTGGTCTCATAGCCTCGGCTACTTGCAAGCTTCCCTGTGGAGCCTACAATATGGCCTTGAGGTCCTGATTCTCCTGCTTCCATCTCGGGAGTGTGGTTTGCAGCTGTTCTCGCTGTGCTCGGCTGTGCAATGCTCTGAGGAACAGAGTTGAGAACTATGTCGGGCCTTGCACAATGCGTGGTGTGCTCACCTGTAGCTCCTGGCTCACCCTTAGGTTCCTGCTGACATGAACTGCCAGGTCCAGCTCGGTTTTGTTGTCTCCTCCTCCTCCTTCCTCTTCTCCTTTAAAGATTTTTTTTTAAGTAAGTCAGAATGTGCTGGGAGGAAAATGTAATGATTGTAATAATATAAAAATGTCTTAGCCAGTGTTCTACCGATGTTCCACTCCCTAAGTATTCAAATATGAACCTCTGGGGGCCATTCATATTCAGACCACCACATTCCACCCCCTACCCCCATAGACTTGTAGCCATATCATAATGCAAAAAATGCATTCAGTCCAACTTCAAAAGTCCCCATAGTCTATCACAGCGTCAACACTGTATAACACTCCAGAGACTCACGGCAGTCTCTTAACTGTAATCCCCTATAAAACCAAAATCAAAAGCAGATCACATACTTGACACTGCGGTGAGGCAGCAAAGGGAGGAGAAGAGGCACAGTGAGGAAGTGCCGGACCAAAGCAAACTGGGCAAACTCCGAACTCTGCATCTCCACGTCTGATGTTAGCTTGTCTCTCTTGGACTGGTTCCACACCTGTTAGTAGCTCTCCTCTGGCGTCCCCAACATCTTGAGGACTCCAAGGTGATCCAGGCTTCGCCTGCACAGCTTCATGCAATGGCCTGTCTGGGCCCTGGCACATGCCTGGTCTCTGTAACTTAGTCACAGAGGGAAATTTCCCAACACCTGTCTTGTATCCTTGATTCTAAAGCCGGAATCACATGACTGAAGCTGCCGCTCCTTAAGCATTCAAATATATGAACCTACGGCAGGCCGTTCTTAGACCACCACAGACCTCCAGCCAAATTATTGGTGAGGTCCTTGTTTGTAATCTCACGGGATTAAGAGCTAGCTGATGAGTGGGGATGTGCACAGGAGAAGGGTTTGCAGAGCCATGACCGGAACCAAGGAAATGTCACTCAATGACAGCCATACCTGCTCTGCCTCCTCGTCACTTACGGCTGGTTCCTCTGCGAACTGAGTGTTAGAGCCAGGCTAACCTTTCCTGCAGCTCTACTGGTCAGATGGCGTGGACTAACCCTCCTTCTCTCTAGACGAGGGGGTTGACAGAGCCCCTTATCTCACAGGACTTGACTGGGGTAAGAGGCAAGTTGCTGAAGGGGGCTCACTGCAGGGACAGGCAGTAGCTAGACCTGACCTGCCCTGCCCTGGGTAGCCAAAGACTCATATTTGATACCGAGGATTAAGGTCATGACTTCCTAAGACTCAGGGCAGAAATGTCACTGTGTCAGTGTGGAGCTCGAAGGCGGAAGCCTTGTCATCAGCTGGTGTGAGCATGTTCTCAGACAAGCAGAGGGGCTCGGCCTCAGCGTGTTCCTTTTCTCGAACTGCAGATAGCTCCGGCAGAAGGTCCGGATGTCAGCGAAAGGATGGTCATCATCACCGGACCACCTGAAGCCCAGTTCAAGGTCAGTGCCAAAGATCATGCTGGTGTTGAGGTTCGCCTGTGGTGGCCTCGTGTCCATCTCCCCCTCCGGGTCCTCATTGCTCCTCTGTGCTCTGCCTTCTGTCCACGGAGAGGTGGGTCATCTGTAGGTGCCCAGTTGGGATGGTAGTACCTCCAGCATGTCTCTGATTGGGTGGCTTAGGTCCCCCTCACGTCGTGGGTGTTAAAATGGATGCCGAGGAGAAGCTTTTTGTAGTGGGTACTCTGGCAGCCTGTAAGAGAATTCTGGTAGCACTGTAGAGTTCCTCTATAGGGAGCTTTGCTTTGTTTCTGATGTTGTTCCTCTAGGAACATTAAAACTTGAATTTCAAGAAGTTGGAGCCGGGCAGTGGTGGCGCATGCCTTTAATCCCAGCACTTGGGAGGCAGAGGCAGGTGGATCTCTGTGAGTTCGAGACCAGCCTGGTCTACAAGAGCTAGTTCCAGGACAGGCTCCAAAAACCACAGAGAAAAACCCTGTCCCGAAAAAAAAAAAAAAAAAAAAAGTTGGAAACGTGTATTGATTTATAAGAGTTCAGCCCTTAATAATTGAAGTCATAAGGAATCAGAAGCCTTCAGCTAGAAAATGAATGGACAAACGTGGTATACCCACACAAGGGAATATTATTTTGACACAAAAAAGAATGATTTACCCAATGCATTCTACCAAGGGATGAACCCGGAGAAACAAGAGCTTGTAGGTCATGGTTCCTGGTATGCAAGAAGGGGTGGCAGCTAGCTGCTGATAGGCCAATCCTGGGAGCTGAACTGTATGGTGGTGGCAGCTAGCTGCTGATAGGCCAGTCCTGGGAATTGAGCCCAGGGCTCACACGTAGGGGGCAGCAAACTCTCAGCTGCTGAGCCACATTCCTAACCCTCTTCCAATTCTTTAAAATTTTTAATTATTTATTTATTATGTATACAGTATTCTCAGTACTCTGCCTGCAAGCCAGAAGAGGGCACAGATCTCATTACAGATGGTTGTGAGCCACCATGTGGTTGCTGGGAATTGAACTCAGGACCTTTGGAAGAGCAGGTGGTGCTCTTAACCATTGAGCCATCTCTCCAGCCCTCTTTAAAAATTTTGATACAGGGTCTCCCTCAATTGCTCAGGTTGGCCTTAACCTGCAGTTCTTTTCTTCAGCCTCCTGAGAAATTGGGTATTACAGGCTTGTGCCAGCACTGGGCAATGGGGGAGGAGCCTGAATATTCTGGATGGTGGTGATGGGCCCACACGTATTGACTACCAAGTACAATACTGAAGTAATGACTTCACTACCAGGTGCAGGGTCGTGAGTTCGATTCCCAGCACCACAAAAACAAACAAAACCAGCAGCATGTTTAGACTCAGCAAATGCTGTCACCATCGGCTTACCTCCTTCGATGACTAGAGAAGTGAGCAGACAGTGGAGGGGAGTTAAGAATGCCTTGAACAAATTCAGCCAACCAAAGCTACAGGTGCTGGGGATATGGAAATAAGGATGCAGTCTTAGTGGCTCGCCAGTTGCTCCCAGCCAAGACACGCATTCCCTAGAGGGAGTAATCGCATGCAAACCAAGAGGCTTGGCAGCGTGTCCAGATTCCGGTAGAGTGAGGTTGTTCAGCGCATGAGCGTCCCGGCTCTGTAAGGCTGAGTAGCTGTGCAGCTGCCCGGGTGCCCGGAAGAGACCCCATACACCCCATCACTGAGACTCCTGGTTCCTGCACAGCCCCCACAAAGCAGTGTGGCGGCAGCTAGCCCTTACCAGTCATCTTCTTCTCAGGCTCAGGGACGGATCTTTGGGAAGCTGAAAGAAGAAAATTTCTTTAATCCCAAAGAAGAGGTGAAGCTGGAAGCCCACATCCGAGTTCCTTCGTCGACAGCTGGCCGGGTGATCGGCAAAGGGGGGAAAACCGTAAGTCAGCTCCCCACTCGAGTCCCTTCGCCTGGATGGAGTTCCCTGCCCGGGCCAGGCCTGACGACCCTCAGATCCTCACGAGCTCTTTTGCTCGTTCTCAACATGTATGAGGGCCTTGTGATGACACACCTGGGCTCTGACAGGCTCAGGTTGAATGAGGCATGGGGATTCCGAGGGCAGAGATGTCACCAGCAGGGCCTAATCCCATGGTGTCACACTTACTCTATTCCTGAGTGCTGTGCCACCTAGCCCTGTTTTTATCTGAAAGACAAGAAGGCCATCTTTTGCTCCCTCCCCACATACACATCCGCATGTAGCAGATAGGACCCATTTGAGACCACTCTCTACCTGGTTTCCAAGTTCCGAGACTGTAACTCTGCCTTGTGCTCTCTCCTGAGGCCCTCTCACTCTCCCGTTTTCTGGTTCTTTCTCAAGTCTGGCGGTCTACTCTAGGGGAGTTGGCTCAGTAATAGGATGAGAATTTTTATTTATTTATTTATTTATTTATTTATTTATTTATTTATTTATTTATTTTTTGCTTTTTGAGATAGGGTTTCTCTGTGTAGCTTGGGAGCCTGCCCTG